CCAAAGACGTCCGCGGCTGGCGCAACCCCCTTCCACCTGAAGCCGCAAGAGCATGCAGTTCGGACGCCGCGTCGGGGAACTGTTTGGCGAGCGTCGCGAGGTGCTCGGCGAGGGCCGCCGACTCGCCATCCGTGTCACCGTAGTCGTAGTCGTAGTCGTAGTCGTAGTCGTAGTCGTAGTCGTAGTCGTAGTCGTAGTCGTAGTCGTAGTCGTCGGACTTGCCGATATACTTGCCTTGGCACACAATGCAGCACCACTTCCCTCGACGAGCGTACTCCCAGTGGCCGCACTCCGGCCAAACATCGTAGGAATAACGACCAGCATCGCGAGCTCGGCGACAACCATCATATCCGTAGTCCTTGTGGCGGCCGCGGTTCTGGTCCGGCAGGCGATCATTCGCCAACGGGGTGCGCCGCTTCCAAGAGCTCACACAACAGACAAGAATGACTCTTGACCACGGACCAGCGCGCAGCCTAGTCTTGGTTGCAACAAACAGCGAAGACGAGCCAAAATGGCTACGGGGAATGAGGGAGGAAGACAGGGAGTGAGAGGGAGGGGGAGACGGGGACAAGCTAGGTGCGCTCGCGTCATATCTGACATCCTACCCCTCCCTCCCATCCCTTACCATGGCGCAGATCCCCTCTCTACTCGCTCAGTCGGATGTCGAGCAGGGCAATGATCCCGAAAGGGTACGCGATGCATTGTAGAGCACGGCATGCCACGGCGTAGAAGAGCACCGCAAAGCGTAGTATCAACCTAGCATTGCATTGCATGCCGTGGCATGGCACGGGAAATGACGCCAGCGCTGCAGCGGGAGCACGAGTCGAAACGAGCGAAAGCGCGGAAATGAGGCCAGCGCTGCAGCGGGAGCACGATTCGGAACGAGCGGAAGCACGGAAAGGAGGCCAGCGCTGCAGCGGGAGCACGATTCGGAACGAGCGGGGCCCGAAAATGAGGCCGGCGCCTCAGCGAGAGCAGCATTATGAAAACAAATGCAGGCGAAAACCCAACTCCGCGGAAACCTGTGTGCACAAAAAACAGTACGCGGGGGGGGGGTCGGCCAGATTCAAACCGTCATCAGGGGAAGAGGGAGAGTAGTATTCATATTGAGTAATTGTAGAAGGAGGGAGGAGGATGAGTGAGGAGGAAGAGGAGGGCTGCAACAGTCGGGACGCGCCCTGCATGCTGGCGCGACCAGCGGGTACCAGAGGAGCCGTTGTTGAAAAGTATGCTCTGCGAGGACATGTGCACTGAACTGTGCACTCTATCGGTCGGAATGCCAATGCAGCAGCGACTCGAAGCAAAGCTCGCGGCGGTGCCGCGGGACGCGCCACGGCAGGTGAGCGGCCCACATTACAAGAGAAGACTTGTCTGCCTCCCCTGTGGCCCAGAATGCGGCTGAATGTCGTGCGCACCTCGGGGCCGCGATGGAGCAGGTGGGGTAGAAGAGAGGGGGCGGAGAGAGCGCACGAGCCAACAGGAGCGACCAGCCCGAACGCCTCAGGATCCAAAGTTCGCCAGCCCAGGCGTGCCGGCGGCGTGGGGCCAGAACTCACCAGTGGGTGCTGTGGCGGGGAAGCAGCGGTATTGGGCCCCACCCCTCGGAGGAGGAGGATGAGGAGGAGGAGGAGGAGGACCAATGTAAACCCGAGACTCATCAACGATGTTGGAATACACCCTTCCTCCAAGCTCCCTCTCCATAGGCCCCTAGAGAAACTCATTCCCACCAAAAGAACTGCCCCGTTGGGGGGACAACCGAATGAAAATCTGGACGGGTGCCAAAATACCATTCTCAAGGCTTCAACGCCACAAATCGAACTGACAATTGCGTATTGACGGCCCTGAACCGTGCCAGAACACCATTCCTGGGACTTCAACACCACGAATCCACGTAACCGTTGCGCCCTGGCAATCCTGAATCGCTTCAACATAACCTGTGAAATTCTTGAACACGTTTGAAACTCTTGAACTCTGTGCGCGGCGCTAAAGCGAGAGCCACAAATTAAAAAAGAACCACCCTGAATCAATGAAACTCTTGCGAATATTTAAAGAGAATGTGCGCGGCGCTAAGGCGAGAGCCACATTTTGAAAGCGACCCGCCCTCAATCCGTGAAACTCTTGCACATGTTTCAAACGAGTGCGCGCAGCGCAAAAGGGAGAGGCACATTTCCAAAACGACCCGCCCTCAACCCGCGAAACTCCTGCAAGTGTTGATTAAGAATACACGCGGCACTATCGCGAGAGCCACATCTTGGAAGCGACCCGCCTCCTCCATGTGTGAAACTGTTGCCAGTCTGTGAGCTTCAGGCTCATAAACGGTAAAGAACTCTCAGGCGAAACGGTCGGCCTGCCCTTCCGACTGGCCTCGGGGTGCGACAGGGAGGAGTCATTCACACGGCAAATGAATGGAGGAAGGCCACATGTGAGGTCCATCCCCCACGCTCGGGGCCCAAGGTGGCCGTACTTTCCCCGGGGGATGGCAGTCCTTCTCAATCCCATGAGAGACCGTCGTCCTCTGCCCTGCCATCCCCTTGGCATGGTGGCGCGAGGCTGTGACGGGGAATGAGGTGGAGTTTGGTGGCCCACCGATGAGACTCGGTATCCCCGAATCTCACTCCAGGGCCCCCGGGACGGGGCTGGCTTCAGCCCGCTGGCCGCCGCCGCGCGATGGCGGCACGCCCGGCGACATCAGCCAGGAGGCGTATGGAGACAGTCAGGTGCCAGCCACGTGACCTACGAGTACACGAACCCGACGGGGCCTGGGCCGTTGCGAGCTGCGGCGCGCAGGACGGGCTACAAAATGCGGAAGGGCAGGGACGTCAGATGGAGTGATCTATCACTCATGGTCGCCGCCATGACGAACGTGCGAGCTAGCAGACGTAAGCCCGAAAGCAAAAGCGTCAATGACAGCACCAAATACGACACCAGGCACGACAAGGCCGAGCAGCCCGAGGGGGGAACCAGGTACATCGTCGTGGAGATACCGGAGGGCAAGGGCCACGCCGCCTATGACGAAAACGACTACGACGCCCGAAATGGCTACGACAACGGCTACGACGTTTACGCCGCGTACAACTTCCTGGCCCTGCCGCCCACCATGCCGTCAGAGCTTCGAAGAGCCACCAGTGGAACTTCGAGGGCCACCAGCACAGCTACGACGGCACGAGGCAGACAGAAGCAGCGGGGCTCCGAGGACCACTTGCGGGGCCACCGAGGCCACCAACGGAGCCTCGAGAGCCACCAGCGCAGACTCGAGGGCCACCAGCAGAGCTTCGACGGCAAGACGCAGAAAGCCTCAAGAGCCAGTGGCCGAACCTCGAGGGGCCACCATCAGAGCTTCGATGGCGAGAGGCAGAGCTACGACAGCAAGACGAAGACGAGGAGGACTACGAGGAGCACGGCCTGAAGGAAGACGACGCGGAGAAGCCCGACGTCCTCGCAACGGCCGCGCTGGCGCGCGAGGCGTTCCTCGCCAGGCGACGCGCCATCGCAAGCCGCACCTACTGGCCAGGAGGGCCACCAGCGGAGCTACGAGGGCCACCCGCTGAGCTACGAGGGCTACAGGCTGAGCTACCAGGACCACGCGCTGTGCTGCAGGGGCCACAGGCAGGGCTACGAGGACCGGCAGCTGACTCACGAGGGCCACCAGCCAAGCTACGAGGGCCACTGCCCGAGCTACGCGGGCCACAAGCAGAGCTACGAAAGCCTCCTGCAGAGCTAGTAGGGCGACGAGCTGAACCGCAAGGGCCAAGAGCAGAGCTGCGAGAGCCGCCAGCCGAGCTGCGAGGGCCGCCTGCTGAGCTACCAGGGCAACAAGCTGAGCTACGAGGGCCGCGAGCGGAGCTTCCAGGGCCAGCAGCTGAGCTACGAGACCCGGCGGAGCATCCAGGGCCACAGGCAGAGCTTCGAGGGCAACCAGCTGAGCCACGACGAGGGCCACTTGAAGAGCCGCCAGGCAAGCTGGCAGAGCGACGAGGGCTACGCGCAGAACTTCCTGGGCAACGCGCAGAGCTACGAGGAGGCGCTCGTCAACCAGAGCAGGCTGGGTCGCGGGGAACTGCTGCGCCACCTGGTGGCGCACTCCGGGAGGTCAGCCACGTGCGTCTCGCGTGGGACTGACAGCTAGGCCAGTCATCAACGGCCAAGAACGAGTCCTGGGGCCACTCGACGCACAGGCCAGGCGATGGGCATACTGGAACGCGACAACCCGAATCCGCGTCAAGACGCAGAACCTGGAGATCTACGGCGAATACTCTAAGCAAAAACTCGGCAATTGGTACGAAGACCGAGCCCAAGCTGTTCGGTAATACGACACGCTGCATCACGATTAGTGTTCGAGCGGCTGTACGACCTCGCAGCCGCGGAAGGCCAGTCCCAGGCTAACCCCAATTAATCAATCTTTGACGCATTTCAACACGACTCTCCGTTCGACGCGCTGTTCGCCCAAACGGCGTAGAGCAGGGCGCGAACGACACCTACAACCACGAGACCGGCCTGCCTGCAGCCAGCGACGATGGCGACGGCCGACATGAAGTACCAAGCGGGGGCCGGAGGCCCATCCCTTGCTCCTCGCAACGATTACATCCTGCTGCCGTAGGGTAAATAGACCGGCCGTCCTCGCTCTTGGTGCACTCGATTATGACGGGCCCGCCCGAGTCGACGGCAGGCACTGCGGGCCACCGCCTGTTCATAAACGCATGGCGGCGAGGCCTTGGCCACCCGCCCCATCCGTCTCCTCTTGCGAGCGTATGGTAAGTTTTTTTGTTTGTTTTCTTTTCCTTTTTTTGGGGGGGAGTTCGTTTGGTAAGTTTGGTTCGTCACGGGGCCGTTCGCCTACCCGCCGCGCGCGGCGCGGGCGCCGCGGCTTCGGGCGCTGGGTTCGCCTCTTTGGCGCGGCGTAAACAGAACAGACGGAGGAGAGAGGAGGAGCCGTGAGCAGGAGGGGGAGAAGGGAGGGAGGAGGACGGGCGGGAGGAGGCGGCGGAAGCGGGGGAGGATGGGGAGAAGCAGGAGGAAGAGGACAGGAAGGACGGGGACGAGAACGAAGACGACGAGCAACTGCGGAGGACAACGGCCTCGTTCTTGCTAGGCCGGGAACCCTCCCGACGAGCCGGCGGGCCGGCGGAACGGCCGGCAGCGCCCGCGGCCCTGGAGATCTCCGAGGGCCCCCCGAGGTGAGGGCGAACGACAGGGGGAGACAGGCCAAAGTGGGGGAGGGGCACATCGAGCTGGGATCCCAGAACCCCAACGTCCCCAGACCCCCTCGCGCTGTGATGAGATCGCGATGGGAGGTGCTTCGCTGATTTTTGGCCTCGCGGGGCCCTTGCCAGGCCTTGGGACCGTCAAGAAACGGCTCGGGATGAAAAACAAGTCCCGGGGAAGGGTCCAGACCTCTGGGGGTCGACGTTGCGAAAAAATCACGACGTCGGGGGTCTGGGTTTCGAGCAACTCGAGACGGAGTGCTGTTCTCGGTTTTCGGCCTCGGCCCTCGCAGGGCCCAAGGACCGTCAAGTAACGACTCAGGATGAAGAGCCCGCCCTGGGAAAAAGGTCCACTCCTCTGGTGGCCCCACATTGGCAAGCTCAAGACATCGGATGGGATCGTAGATACATCGCCGATAGATCGGCGATGGGCCCTCGATCGCGAAACCGCACACTCCTGGGCGGGGGTGGGTCATCGACGCTCCTGGGCGGGAGTGGGCCATCGGGCTCGTATCGGCGATGAGTGGGCGATTGGCCCAGACATCCGCTTGGCCCAGACATCCGCAGATATGATTTTCTAAAATCCGCAGCCCCAAAGGTCCCGACCCCTTCCTCGGGGGAGGTGTTTCATCCCGGATCCATTTCTGATGATCCCCGGAAGTCATCTCCTCGCATCTCTGGGGGAGGGAGTCATATCCTCGTATTTCTGGGGGGGCGGGTCGATGCGTCCCCCCCTGAGCCCGTCCCCCCTATCGTCGTGCGCCCCGACGAGGTCCCTCCTTCCGAGAGGGCCCTCCGAGGGTCTCCGCGGGCCCCCCGATGGCCGCCGGGGGCCTCCCGAGGAGGCCTCCGACGGGCCGCGGGAGGCCGCCGCTCCCAAGGCCCCCGCGGGGGGGCCCTCCGGCGGCCGCCTCCGAGCGCCTCCGGGGAGGCCCGCGGCAGGCCCGCCGACGACGGGTCTCCGCGGCGCGGGGCGCGCCCGCTCAGGCGCGCGTCGGGCGCCCCGGGCGGCCATGCCGCGGCCGGCCCGCGGAGGCGGGCACCGGCGCCGCGCCGCCACCTCGGGGGAGGCGGCGGGCGTCGAGGGGAAGCCGAGAGGCCGCCGAGGGGCCGCCGAGAGGCCGCCAGGGGGCCTGCGCGGGAGGGGGTCCGCCGGAGAGCCACCGAGGACCGCCGGGAGGCCGCCGAGATCCCGCCAGAAGGACGCCGGGACTGGCCGAGGGCCGCCGAGGGCTGCCTTCTGAAAATCCATATGATTCACGCCTTCATTTCTTCGTTGCGTTGCCTTCGTCTCTCCATTAACTCGAATATGTCTTCGCTTCTTCGTCTCTCCGTCTTCGTCTCTCCGTCTTCGTCGTCGCTTCATCGTCTACACTTTCGTCCTCGTCTCGGTGAATCGTCTTCGCTTGGATCTCTTCGTCGCTTCGTATTCGTTTCTCTTTGAAATTTCGGAGCCTCCACGGGCTCTGCTGGAGAGGCTCTCTGAGGCCCTCTATAGGGCCCGCATAGAGCGGGGGAGGCAAGGCGCCCCCCCTATGCCGATTCTCCTCCTCGCCCTCCACGTCTTCTTGCTGTTCCTCCTGATCCTCCTCATACTCCTCCTCCTCCTCCTCCTCCTCCTCCTCCTCCTCCTCCTCCTCCTCCTCCACCTCCTCCTCCTTTTCCTCCTCATCCTTCTCATCCTCCCCCTTCTCCTCCTCCTCCTCCTCCTCCTCCTCCTCTTCCTCCTCCGCCTCCTCCTCCTCCTCGCTTCCTTCTCCTACTCTCTTGTTCCTTATGAATAACTCCTCCCTGTCGCACCCCGAGGCCAGTCGGAAGGGCGGGCCGGGCGTTTCGCCTGAGACTTCCTTACCACTTTATGAGCCTGAAGCTTACAAACCGGCAACAGATTCACAGATGTAGTGCGGGTGGTTTTCAAAAATGTGGCTCTCGCCGTAGCGCCGCGCCCAGTCGTTTTAGAAATGTGTGATAAAATGTTCACGGATTGAGGGCAAGTCGTTTCCAAAATGTGGCTCTAGCCTTAGCGCCACGCACATTCGACTCAAAAGAATGCAAGAATTGCACGGGTTGAGTGCAGATAGTTTTCAAAATTCCGTTTATCGCCTTGGCACCGCGAACATTCGCAAACTTCACGGATTGAGAATACGTCGTTTTCAAAATGTGGCTCTTGCAAAGGCGCCGCGCACATTCGCTTCGAAAGTCTGCAAAATTTTACGGATTGAGGGCGGGTGGCTTTCAAAAAGTGGCTCTCGCCGTAGCGCCGCGCACAGCCGCTTAAAAGATTTAAAGACTTTCACGGATTGAGGGTGGTTCCTCTTCAAAATGTGGCTCTTGCCTTAGCGCCGCGCACATGAGTTGCCAAAAAACGCAAGCGTTCCATACCCATGGTTAACGTACCAGAAAGTGCGCGTTGTAACGGTTCAGGATTGTCAGGGCGCAACAGTTACGTTGATTCGCCATGTTGGAAGTCCCAGGAATGTTCGGGCACGATTCAGGATTGCCAAGACGCAACAGCCAAATTAACTGGTGGCGTCGAAGTCCTGACAACGGTGTTTTGGTACGCTCCATGATTTTCACACTGTTGTCCCCCAACGGGGCAACTCCCTGAGTGGAAATTGACCTTGTAAGGGCCTGTGACGAGGGAGCTTGGAGGAAGGGTGTTCCAACATAGTTGATGAGCCTTTGGTTTACACTGGTCCTCCGACTCCACCTTCTCCTCCTCCTCATCCTCCCCTCTCTTCCTTGTCCTCCTCCTCCTCTTCCTCCTCCTTCTCCTCTTCATCCTCAAACTCCTCCTCCTCTCCCTTCTCCGTCTGCTGTTCCTGGTGTTCCTGCCCCCCTCCTACTCATGCTCCTCCTTCCCATCGTCATCATCATCATCAGCATCATCAGCAGCAGCATCATCATCGTCGTCGTCGTCATCATCGTCATCATCATGAACAACATCCTCGTCATCATTATTCTCATCATCATCACCGAAATCACCACCACCACCAGCATCATCATCAGCAGCATCATCATAATCATCATCAATGTCATCATCGTCATCATCATCAGCACCACCATCAGCATCATCATCATCAACATCATCGTCACTAGCCTCATCATTTCGTCATCATAACCATCGTCATAGTCATCTTCGTCAAACTCAGCATCATCATGGCATCACCATCATCATCATCATCATCATCATCATCATCATCATCATCACCATCGTCATCATCAGCATCATCACCATCATCGGCAGCAGCATCAGAATAGTCCACATCATCATCATCATCAGCATCATCATCATCATCAGCAGCAGCAGCATCGGCATCATCATCATCATCGTCATCAACATCATCGGCGTTGTCATCATCATCATCATCATCAGCAGCAGCAGCAGCATCAGCATCACCTCCATCACCTGTCATCATCAGCATCATCATCTGCAACAGCAGCATCATCATCAGCGTCAGCATCGCCAGCATCAGCATCATAACCATCAACATCAGCAGAAGCAAAATCAGCATCAGCAGCATCAGCAGCATCATCAGCATCCACATCATCATAATCCTCAGCATCAGCGTCAGCATCACTATCAGCAGCAGCATGATCAGCAGCATCGTCAGCATCAGCATCGTCACCAGCATCATCAGCATCACCATCAGCATCATAATCATCATCATCCTCACATCAGTCTTCATCTCCAGCTGCATCGTCATCGCAATCGCCATCGTCACCGTTCTCGCCGTCATCGTTGTCATCACCACTACTACCACCACCATCATTATCATTATCCGTATCGTCACCATCGCCATCATCGTCATCATCGTCATCGTCATCATAATCATCATCGTCGTCAGCATCAATATCGTCATCACCATCATCGTCATCATCATCACCACCAGAGCATCATGATCATCATCGTGGTCGTCGTCCTCATTGACTCCGCCCTCAGCATCATGATCACAATCATCATGATCATCATCATCAGCATCGCCATCAGCATCGCCATCGTGACCATCATCGTCGTCGTCAGCATCATCCTCGTCATCAGGATCATCAGCATTATCAGTCAGCATCATCTTCGTCATCAGCATAATAATCAGGATCATCAGCATCATCATCGCCACCACCATCACCAGATCATCATCATCATCATCATCATCATCATCATCATCATCATCGTCGTCGTCATAGTCATAGTCATTGTCATCATCATCCCTCCTCCTTCTCCTCCTCCTCTCCTCCTCCGCCTCCTCCTCCTCCTCCTCCTCCTTCTCCTCCTCCTCCTCCTCCTCCTCCTCCTCTTCCTCCTCCCCCTCCCTCGCCTTCCTCTCCATTCTCTCCTCCCTACATACTAATCCCCCTGCTCCCTCTCCCCCTCCGCTGCTCATCACTCATCCTCCTCCTCCTTATCCTCTTCATCCTCCTCCTGTTCCTCCTCCTTCTCCTCATCATCCTCATCCTCATCATCAGCAGCAGCATCAGCATCATCAGCACCATCAGCATCATCATCAGCATCATCATCATCAGCAGCAGCATCAGCATAATCATTAGTATCATCATCAGCAGCATCATCATTATGGTCCGATTGTCCGAACCATCGTCATCATAATAACTTGCAGCGCACTTAAGCCATCATCAGTGCCATCATCGCCAACACGGCCACCACCATCATCATCATCATCATAATAATAATCATCAGCATCATCATCAGAATCGTCACTCTCTGTCGTCAGCATGAAAACAATCATTATTGCTATCATGTATGCATTGTCATTCGCATTGCCTTCCCTCCTCCCATTTCCATTACTTGTCCTGTTGTTGTGTCCGCTCTCTTGTCTAATTACGTGCTTATATGATCATTGTCGTCGTTATCCTCATAGTTCTCTTTCCCCTCCTCCTCCTCATCCTCCTCCTCCTCCTCTCGATCCTCTCTCGTGCTACTTCTCAGTCATGCCTCCCTCAACCTCTTGCGGAGGGACTCGGCACGTGTAGATGTTATGCCCCCCTGGCTAGGGCCCGTGCCGCGCTTGTTCTTGATGAGCTGCCTGCGGATGTTCTGCTGCAGCTCCCTGTGCACCGACTGCAACTCGTCGTCGAGGTCCTCGCAGTCGGAGGAGGAGTCGCTCGAGAAGCCCGAGGAGTCGCTGTCGCTGTCCGACGCCGCGGTGCTGCTGCCCGTGCCCGTAGTGCCGTGGTGGCTGCTCGTGGGGGGCCCGTCATCGACCTTCGGCGGCGCGCCAGAGGGGGGCAGTGCGGGGGGGGGGGGGCGGGGGAAAGGCCTTCTGGGCAGGCTCGCCGCCTCATGGGCGCCCTCCCCGGTCCTGGGAGCACCAGTGAGGGGGCCGGGGGTCCCTTCGGAGACTGCCTGCCTGGAAGGCTGGTCCCACCGCGCTGCCCCCTGCCCACCCACCCACCCCTAACCGAGCAGGCAGCGGCGTGTGCGCACGTACGCCCTCCGCGGCCACGCCTGCACTGCCCAAGCGACCGCGCTCCTCGGGCGCAGGCGGGCGCAGTCTGGACCGTGCACGCGCGCACACTGCTGCCTGCCTCGGATTTTGCGCGCCGCTGGGGGCCTGCTGGGTGGAGACGTCCGAGCCCACGCCTGCGGGCCCGGCCGAGTAGCTCACATGCGGCGGGACGCTCCAGCGCCCCAGCGGGAACGGCGGCACCGCTGGCGTCGGCGGCGTCCAGGTCGCGGGCCTCTCCCACGACGGCGGGGTGGCGGGCCAGGGCTTCTTGCCACACGGGCTCTGCCCACGGTCCGCAAAGGCGGCGGCAGTGGTCCTCTCTGGCGTGCAGGGCGCGGCGGTGGTTGCCTGATCCTCGCCATCGCCCTCCCAATTCTGCGCGCTCCGCACCTCCCGCGCCTTCCATGCGGCGGCGGCGGCGGCGGCGGCAGCGGCAGGGTGCTGCGCCACCAGCGCATCCGCGTTCCACATCTCCCGCAGCATCGCCGCCGCCCGCTCCTCAGGGGGAACGACAAAGGGGCGGGCCGGCTCAAGGGGGAAATGTCGAGCCGGAATCGGCGCTGCATCGCCGATAGATCGGCAACAGGCCCCCGACAGCACACTCCCCACCGTCCTGGGCGGGATGGGCTGCCAGGCCTCTGTCGACGATCGTTGGGCGGTGGAGGGTCGACCCATCCCCCCTGGGCCTATATCCCCCCCTAACGTGCCCCCCTGGCTTTCAAGTCAGAACTCGGCTCCCAAGCGGCTGCTCGGGACTGTCCTGACCCCCCCAGAACGCCCTCGGCGAGGCGAAGCCGCTGGAGAGCATCCCGAGGCTGAAGACCGCCGAGAACCGACGAGACGTCAAAAAACCTCCAACCTGATGGCCCTCACTCGGGGCGGCGACGTCACCTGGCCCGACGAGGACAAAAGCGGCCGCGCCCCTGACGGTGACGCCACCTGGCCCGAAGAAGACACAGCGGCCACTCCTCTGACGGTGCCGTCACCTGGCCCGCAGAGGACCAAGCGGCCGCGCCCCTGAAGGTGCCGTCACCAGGCCCGCAGTGGAAACAGCGGAGGACGCATCACGAGGAGGAGGAGGAGGAGGAGGAGGAGGAGGAGGAGGAGGAGGAGGAGGAGGAGAAGGGAGGAGGAGGAGGAGGAGGAGGGAGGAGGGAGGAGGGAGGAGGAGGAGGGAGGAGGGAGGAGGGAGGAGGGAGGAGGAGGAGGAGGAGGAGGAGGAGGAGGAGGAGGAGGACCCCCTCCCCCTCAAACTTCTGGTGGTGGTGGTTGTGGAAAACAGGCCCAAGAGGGAGGAGGAGCCCCTAAGCCCGTGTTCCCCCGAGCGTTTGCCCCCCGGGTCCGCGGCGAAGAACACCGCTGGGCCTCCGGCGGCCGCGGCCCTCGCCAGGGCGTCCACCACGCACTGGCTGAGCTGCACCAGGCGCTCGCGAGCCAGGGCGCCCCTGCGGTCCACGACGGTGACCGTGGGCTTGGCCCGCCACGGGTATCCTCGGAAGGCCCAAGATGAGGACGGTGATAATCTCATGACAAGATTTGCTCTGGATGCGTTCCAGGCTTCCCAGCGCACCTTGCGGCCTTCGCTTCTGCACGGCATCGGGCAAATTCGGGAATCCTGGAACCCTTGGAACGTATCATTACTGTGAGTGGGCCTGAATTTAAATGAGTCTACGTGCGACTGCGAATCTGAATATGACTTATGCTGAGCGAGTCTGACTGAATCTGAATGCGAATGAGCCTGAGTGTGAGCGAGTCTGAATGTGACGAGTGAGGATGAGGAAGAAGGTGAAGGAGAAGGAAACGACGCCGCCTGAGCAACAACAGGACCCAATATTATGAGATTGGGAAGAACAAAGACCGCATCTTAGGATATGGGGGATACGACGAAGTGCACACGCGCGCGTCGTCGCGCGTACATGCCAAAATCAAATCAAAAACCGCTGGTTCCGCAAAGAAGTCTAAATCGAATGGTCCAACACCTTGTTCTTTTTTGTTGTAATGGCTTCACACAGTGACGTTTCAACAAAAAGTCCGCGCGCTCTTGCGAATTCTCACGAAAACCCTGTGTTGTTCAAGATGTTTCATCACACGCAACAAAACGAAACTCTCGCGCCTGAATGCCAAAATCATTCGAACGCCTTTGCGCGCGTGCTGGGGGGGCACGATCGCTGTCAAATAATATCATGCGGGCCACTCGCGCGCGCCGGCCGCGAGCATATCGAAATCTTTCCAAAACATGTACCACGGTCGCGTGGATACCATCATCGTCACAGCCGTGATCAGCATCGGCGCCGTCTTTGGCCTGACCACCGTCATCGTCATCGTCAAGAACCAACATCGCTACAGTCATCATCGGATCTGCCGTTGTCGACGTCGCCATGATACCGCGCCCGCCCGAGTCAGCGACTCACACGGAAGTGCCCGCGCGCCAGCGCGGCATGCGAGACGCGCTGAGAAGTCCCAGCGGTTAGCGCCACCGCGGCAGCGTCGGTCGCGCCAAACTAGTTGGCCGCTCTGCGCGCGAGCCTGCACGCGCTAGCGCGGCCGCAGCGAGGCGCCAGCCAGCGCCAAGCAGCCATCGCAATCGCCGCCGCATGGGTTTTGCAAACCAAGTTGCGGATGGATGAGTGGGATGATTGCGCGAGCACTGGAGTTGGCAACTTCAAGTTCGGCAGGGCGAATTGCACCAGATAGATTGCAACACCATTGCTCGCACGACATATCATGTACTGCATATATTGCACCACCTAGCTTGAAACACATAGCGTACACCACATAGCTTACACCGCATGTTTTGCGCCACATAGATTGGACGACATTGTTCACACCCCATAGTTCCCACCATGCAGGTGGCACCACATAGCTTACACCACGTAGTTCACATCACACGGACAAGTACGTTAGCTTCTACCACATATGCTGCATTGCCTAGCTCACACCACCGAGATTGCACCACCTAGCATGCACCACGTAGCTTGCACCACATAGCTTGCACCATGTATATTGCACCGCCTAGCGTACACCGCGTAGCGTGCACCACACAGATTGCCCCAACCAGTATGCTAGAACACACGATTTGGGGTCCACGCTGGTTAACACATTCTCTTCCAATACCCATCTTCCCTTCGGGGAGGGGTACCATCCCCCTCCCCCCCTGAGGTGCTTTGGGGTACCGCGATGTGTCAGAGAGCCCTTGTTCGCCCAACAGTTCTCCGATATAGCCTCCGATTCTCCAACATGGCCTCCAAGGTGGCTCAATGGAGCTGACGACGGCGCAAGATGGCTTCCAACATGCTCCAAAAGGCCCCAAAGACCGCTCCGAGATGGCCCCAAGTGTTCTCGGAGCCTCCATCAGGACCTCCCCAAGAAACCAAAATCGCTCAAGAACCTAAAGAACGTATCTGATGTTCGCCGTCTAGCCTGTTCGCTTCCGATTGGTTCTCGAAGCCTCAAGATGGCCCCTACATGGCCTGAGGGAGCACCCAGAGGAGCCCAAGAGGCCCCCTGGAGGCGCCAAGAGCGCCCAAGAGCGCCCGAAGAGGGCCCGAAGAGGGCTCCAAGAAGAGGTTTCGACAGCTCTCGAGGGGTGAATCGAAATAGGGACCCCCCTCCTTTGACCGTTGGCCTCCACAATGGCCCCAAGAGGCCATTCAGGACTCCCAAGACAACCCCGAGAGGGCCCCAAGACATCCAAGACATGCCCCAAGAGGGCCCAAAGACCTTCAAAAAGGGCCCCGAGACCACCTCAAGAGGACGCCAAACAGGCCTCAATAAAACCTTACGATGGCTGCCAGAGTCCATGTCCTCGTCTTCGTCGTCCTCTTCTCCCTCCTCCTCCTCCTCCTCCTCCTCCTCCTCCTCCTCCTCCTCCTCCTCATTTTCCTCCTCCTTCTCCTCGTCCTCATCCTCATTCTCGCTATCTTCGTTATGCTCCTCCTCTTCCTCATTGTCCTATTCGCTCTCGTCCTCGTCTGCGTCATCCTCTTCCTCCTCTTCGTTTGCCTCCTCCTCCTCGTTCCCGTGCTCGTCCTCCTGTTCCTTCTCCTCCTCGTCCTCGTCCTCCTCCTCCTCCTCCTCCTCCTCCTCCTCCTCCTGCTCCTCCTCATCCTTCTCATCCTCCCCCTTCTCCGCTTCCACTGCACGCTTCTACACTTCCCTGAAGAAGGCAACGCCCGCTTCCCGTCAGCTCTCATCGGTAGCGTTTCTGAGTGGGCTGGTGGGGATACGCCAAGAGTGTGAGGTCGGCGGCCAGACCCCTCCCCACACTCCTTCACCGGCGCGCGGAGCACGCCGGAAGGGGGTCCAGAGCCGACCGACCCATCAGAAAGTTTATGCCCATGCCGCTTTCCGTCGTCGAGTCCTGCGGGCACCAGCGCGACAAGGGCCACGGAGCTCCAGGCGGCGCCCAGGCTCTCCGAGAGGTCGATGTCCACCAGGGCCCCGCCACCCGGTCGGGCAACGTGGCGAGTCAGGGCAGCTCCGAAGCGTTGCGAGAGCGACTGGACCTCATACGACCACCATACCCCTTCTGCAGTCGTGGAAGTGCTCGCATTCACGGATCCATCCACGGATCTACTACCCGTGGACTCCATGGCCGCCTTGAGCAGCTCCAGCCCATCGGACGTGTACATTTCCGCACAGGAGATTGTGCGGCGGGTGGCTGGAACGCTGGGGCAGCACTGCTAGTGGCGTCTGGACTTGAACCGAAGCCGAGAAGGTGCCAAAACAGAGCGCGACGTGACAGACGGGGAATGCGCCGAGACGCAGCGCGCCAGCTGTGCACCCCACAGCGACCCCGGCCCGGCCAATCCTGGGACCGGCGTGTCGGTATAGACGCCCTCCTCGCCAGGTCGGCGATGCGGCGCGGTCCTCCGACTCCACCTACTCCGACCCTATGTAGGAGGCCCCTAGATGTGGTGCCGATTCCAGGTCGATGTCTCCCCCCTCCCCCCACAGCCAGTACTCGCGGGGGGTCAGATTGTCGTCTGGCGCCTCCTCGCGAGGGTCTGACGTCCTCGCCCGCTGTACATCGAGATGCATGGGCGATGCGGACCTTTGGCCGCTCCTGGCCGCACGGGGGAAACTCCAGGGGGCACGCCCGTCAGGGGCGCGGCCGAGGGGCCCCCTGCAGCGAGGCGGGTGCGCTGGTGTTTTGGCTGTGCTCGCCGCCCGTGCACCCATCGCGCTGCCTGCAGCGTCGCGTTCCATGGGCACGGCTCGCGCGAAGGGCGCGCCGACAGGGGGCGGAGGGACGATTTGCAAGCCTTCGCTTGGCGGCGAGCGAGGGTAGATGAAAGAGAACTATGCACATACACCGATTCTGGCCAGGACCATCCTGAGCCCAGGATCGGTGCATACGCCCTCTTACCTTGGCCAGGAAGGTATATGCACCGATCCTGGGTCAAGGATGGGCCTTGACAGGATCGGTGCATGCGCATAGTTTTCTTCGCCCGAGAGGATGGGGGGGAACGAGAAGGAGGAGGCATCCTCAGACGGCGGCGGGACTTCTCGGAATCCCTCGCGCTTTCCGAGAGGCTTTCCGTGTCCTTAGTCAAGGCTCAGCAAGCTTCTCGGACGGCTTGGGGACTTCCGAGCCCTCTGCGAAGGCCCGCCGCCCCCTCTCACTGCCCCTCCTTGCTCGCCGCCGACTGTCGTTGGGGCTGTGGGTGGTGCTCCCTCTGGGGCACGTTCTGCGTGATGGGTGCGCTGCACTGGGCGGGGGGGGGGGGGGCGCTTCCCCCTGGGCCCCCACCAGGCGCCGCCCCGGTGCCTCCCCCCAGGGTCTCGCAGAGCCGCGGCAGCTCGACGTCCGTCGGCGACCGGCGAGGCGAAGCACCGCCTCGATTCCCTGGGTTAGGAGGCAACTACTGGGAGGTCTTCGCCGGGAGGATCAAACTTGATTAAGCCCCATTGGGGGGCTGCAACGCCAGAATCGGCCGCGCATTAAGCGGGCTTGAGCCGGATTAAGCGGGATTAAGCCGAAAAAAACAGAATTGAGCCGGATTAAGCCGGATTTCGGAGCAGGGCAAAGTCAGAATTTGACCTCCCAAGAGTTGCATCCGAACCGCGGGACGCCGCCCGTCTGGACTGCCCGGGGTGCCCAGATCAGGTCAAGCCGCAGGCTGCGGCAGCCCAGGGCCACAGGCGTCCGATCGATGTGCGTCCGCAGTGGTCGAGTCTCGGACAACACCCGGCCGAAAAAAAACACGAGAGACCTGCAGATGAGCGCGCAACTGTCGCTCGGGCTCGGTGGCCTCTGCGCCAGCCAGCGGCGCAGGGCGCCCGGAAGCTGAAGAACAGACAGCGACCTGCACGCAGACTCTCGGAGGTCCGCGCCGAGCTCTTGGGTCGGTGCTGGACACCCCCTGGCGGCCTCCTGGCGCCCAGCGCCGACCCAAGGGATCTGCGCGGACCTCCAAGTGCTCAACCGTGATGGAGCAGCTCTTGCTGCTTCGCAGAAGGAGGAGGAGGAGGAGGAGGACGCCCACGACCACGAAGGGAGTGACCCAATTCGCATGCAACAAAAAACAAACAAGTTAGGAGGGGCCTAGGCAGCCGAAGAGATCCTCCTCCTCCTCGGGAAGAACGCCTCTCCAGCGCCTGGCCTCGACCTCGGCCCCCAGCTCCACGACCTCCGCCCGCGTCAGGCCGAGCATGGCGAGGCCTCGCGCACGGTCGGCAGCGGGACCCTCGCGGCGCGAGGGCTGGGCACCCCGAGCTATTCTCGGAGGACGGTCGCGGCCCTGGGACCAGGCCTCAAAGAAGGGCCTCCACTCCGAGCGAACCTCAAGAGAGGGGGCACCCGTGTACGCCATAGTGAGCCCTTTAGGATTCCTATGGGCAAGATATCTTCCAGCACGAAATCGGTCAAGGTAAAACCCCCGTCCCCCAGACGCGACAGGACGACACCTCAACCGAAGATTCCCCCGTTTCGTGCTGGAATGTGCCATTGCACCACAAGCCGTGCAACACAGCATCGTATCGTGATACGTGCAGCCATCCGACTCATATACCACCCCCTGCTCAAGGGAGTGCCCCAGCTGGAGCCATGCTCCTGGGGTCGGGGGGTTCTCGGGAGGCGGCTCACCAGAAACCGCACCAGGGGCCTCGCCAGGGGCTTCCCCCGCACCAGGCGCAACCTGAGGCACACCGCTAGGCGCACTTGGCTCACCACCCCCAGGGTCCGAACCAGGAAGGGGGAAGCCAGGGACCGCATCCAGGAGGACGTAGCCGAGCCATTCCAACCCTTGATGATCGTTCAGGGCCAAATCCCTACACTCAGCCTGCTGCCTGGCACTGTACAGCCCGACACGTCGGACAAGCTCTGCATATCCAGTCACAAATTGGCGGTCCTCAATCGAAATTCGGAATGGCTCAGCTCCTTCCTTGGCGAGTCTGTCCGCCTCCGAGTTCCCGAAACGCTGCATTTCAGTGATACGGCCTTCCCTAACATCAACCATCGACGAGTGAGACGGGATCTGATGCACTGCCAAGCCCTCCAAACGGTCCCCAATCTCAGCCCACCAGTGGGCTCGGGCCGACGACGCACCAGCTGCCCCCGCGAGGTTTCGAAGGCAACCGACCGTGGCCGCACAGTCCACATGCAGCGAGACACCTGAGGAGAGGACCGAACGGCGGGAGAGCATCAGCACAGCGAAATCCTCGCCGTCGCGTGCCTGTTGCCCAGGCGCTTCCCCGATCGGCACGACACCAAAAAGGGCAGCGAGGGTCCTACCCTGCCTGTCCAGCACCACAACAGCCCAACCCGCGGTCCCGAGTCCTGCGAGCTTCCCTTCAAAGCCCGACCCGTCCGTGAACACATGAGCCCCCTCAGGAATAAACAAGGGGCCGTCCTGAGGCCACTGAAAGTGCCTGGTGCACGGGTCCTGCGGGTCGCGGGGGGGTCGCTCCACCCAGGCCGCAGGGTTGGGGAAAAGACATCTGCTAAAAAGTTCCCCAGCAGGAGTGGGGAGATGGCCAACCGCACGAGCCGCCTTAGCAACCACGGGATCCAGGTTCTCGCGCCGCCAGGGAGCGAAGGCAACGCACTGAAACCTGCGATGGTACAACGTGCCTCTACCATCTCTGCACAGCTGGCATTGGTCAGGGGCCTCTGGACTATGCTCGCACACTCTGTGCTGGCACCAGTACACATTCGCACACAGCGCTGAAAGAGCTGCCTTGTGCGACTTCGTCCACGACTCCGAACATTTCCGCCCTAGAAGCTGATGAATGGGCTGCCAGAACACTGGGCCGCTCCACATCCCGAAATCAAATTGTTTCAACTGCTCCTCCCGCTCAATGGCCCGAACGACCGAGCCTCGCAGGAGAAGGGTGAAAAACTTGGGCGAAAACCGATCAATTGACCACACACGGTTGAGGTCGTCAACCAGGGCTAATCGAGACACATCGAAACTCCAGCGGATCCGAGCAAGCTGCAGGAAAAGCGCAGCAACAGGCTGGCGGACTTGGCCCCAGGGGGCCCTACTCCCCTGGACCGCCAGGGCGTCCTGGACACAAGCTTCCAACACTGGTTTGGAAATCGAGCGGGCCCACCAAACGCTGACGAATTCCTTTACAGCCGACGTCACCGTCACCAAAAGCGGGTCCCTGAGCCAGAGGCGAGCGGCCGAAAGAAACCTGAAGCCCAGGGAAGTGCCAGGAAGAAGAGGGCCCCAGGATCTCGCAGCTTGGACCCTAAGCTTATGGAGGGTGGTCGGCGGGATCCCCAAGATGTGGGATCCCCAAGAAGCTTTAGCCAGCGCGCCCACACGATAAACTCTACTATGCTTTTCACTCTGCCCCAGCTGTCGTAGGGCAACTGCAGTGCTGCGGGCGGCCTCAATTCTCGACGCCTGCGTGCCGACTCGCCTCGCCCTGCCGTCCAGCGAGTCGCCGCCGAGGTCGCGGTGGGCGATGACCAGCTTGTCGTCCGATAGCCTCCACCTGGGATCCTGTACCAACGCAGGCAGCTGGGAGTGATCGGACATCATGAATCTAGTCTTGTCCCAATTAATTGGCAACTTCCTCGAGTCCAGCTCCGAGGTGACAATCTCGAAACTCTTGACCGTGTTCTCAACAACCGTCCTTGGGCCTCCGATGGTATGCGTCGTCAAATCGTCCACCACATTCAACGCACGACACGGAGGCGTCTCCTCAGCCAGGCGCTTGAGGAGGCACAAGGTCATCAGTTTCGCCACTCCCGTTGCCGCACTGCAGCCAGCCACGATAGTTCCATTCGGATGACTGACTCTGCTCGTGCCTCCTGTCCAGCGCGCACGGCGTGGCGCTCGATACAGGCAGCAGAGCGCCTTCAGCAAGGCGCCGTCGAAGTTGTAGTGCTCTGCTGCTTCTCTTAGCTGCTGATGACTGACATTCTCGCAGAACTTGCGGATGTCATAGAACACAATTATGGCCGACAGCCTCTTCCTTCTGGCGTAGCAGGCAAGCATATTGTGTACGTACGCCGCTTTGTCACAACTGGTCGTGGCATCCTTTCCCCAGAAAAACTTCGCATCAACCGACGCCTCCCAACCTTTGACATACTGCCTCCTGCATCTGCTCCAAATGCGCGCCCAGAAGCAAAGGAGCCCGATCGGGCGTGTACCTCCTCCTGGTTTAGGCAGAAATACATTGATCGTGACCCACATGCGTTCACAGTGCGGATTGCGCTCCCAACTTGAAATAATCTCTTGGAGCCTCCGAA